GAGAAATTTTCCATCATAAACAAGAGTCAATGAATTCTTGTCTCTGCCTCCCTCCTACTAAGATACAAGCTAGTTTATAGGATCACAGGATTTTAGAGCTGGAAGGAACCTTAGAGGTCATCTAGTTTACCCTACCCCCCTTCATTTTACAGAAGAAGAAACTGAACCACAAAAATGTCCCACAGTGGTGGAGATGGCATTCAAAACTATGTCTTCTAACTACAAGTTCAATGCTCAATATATGATATCATAGATAGACTTCTATTATCAATCCTATCCCTCAGGCCTATTTGTTTGTGTCTTTATATTGATATGCCCTTAACCCAGCCCAGAGACATTCAAACAAAACTACCTACAGCCCCACAGCCTTCCACACATACCCCTACAGGCTCCCAGTGTGGATGTATATAGGAGCACTATGTCTTTGTGGTTTTTATGTGAAAAAGATATGTGGGTGTTTATGTATATTAACTGGGTTTTTGTGCATGATTATATAAAGAACAGGAATGTATGAGAAAAGAAGAGGCATGTGTAGGCTGGGAAAGTGTGTATGTGTGTGTGTCTCTTTGTATGTGGAAGAAATGTGTTATGTGTTTGTTAAAGCGGCATAGGTCTACAGAAGAGGTATAGAGAGAGTAGACTAAGGAAGAAGGTAAAGAGGAATGTGCATAAACAAAATACAAATGAATCTGGTATGGTGGAAGATTCCTGGCCTAGAATTCAGAAGACTTAACTCTAATGCTATTCTTTGCCACTAATGAATTACATGGGTCTAGGCAAGTCTATTAAATTCTCTAGGCCTCAGTTTCCTCATTGAGGGGGTTGAACCAGATAATATCTAAGGATCCTTCCAGCTCCTGGCATTCTATGCCTTTATATGTACATGTAGGCAGACAGTGTCTGCCTGAATCTGGAATGATTGTGAGGTTGTCCCTGCAGTATGTGCATGGCAGAGGGGTAAAAATATGTGCACCCCTTTGTGGTATGGTGTGTTTCTTTTTGCAACTATGTACTTTCTGTAGGTTTGGGTGAGAGAGGTCACATTAGAGAATCAGAATCTTAGAGCTAGAAAGAAATCACTCAGTCCCACCGCCTATACAATATATGAATCAACCTGCGACATCCTTAGAAGTGATCACTTGGTCTCAGTGAGAGCACCTCCAATCAGAATTAGGGTAAGAATTAGGGGTAAGACAAGACAGAAACAGCTGCCCAGGGTTCAACATTCAGGAAAGGTTCTTTTTAATATCATTTTTTATAAATGTACACATTAATACCAAAATACTCTGCCTCCGTGATACTTGAATGTGTAGATTCTTAAAATAAATCCTTTTTCAGATGTTTTAATAAAGACTGAAAGCTTCTCATGATAGTACATAAAACACAGGCATGCAGTCTTCAAATTCAGAGGGAAACTGGGATTTTCAAATCTTGCCCAAATACTTTTTCCCAGCCCTGACTCTAATGAGGAATAACTTAATAAAACTTCCTAGCAGCTGGCTTCATTATTGGACACTTATAATAACTGGTAAGGTCATCTTCTGCCTCCTGTAAATTATAGAATCACAGGATTCTAGAACAGGAAGAAACCTCAAAAGTCATCTTATTTCACAGATAAGGAAGCACAGGCTCAGAAAGGTAGTGACTTTAAAAGTTATACGAGGCAGAGATCAGGATTGCACTTTTAAGTCCAGGGTTCTTTTTAGTAAGCCATGATGACTCATAGAGAACTTGAAACCCATACACACACACACACACACACACATACACACACACACACACACACACACTCACTCACACCCTAGATCTTTTTCACATTAATTGCTGTCAATCCACCTTTCTTTTTCCTCCTCACCCCTCTCCCCATATTTGTGGAGTTGATTCTTTAATACCTACAAGTAGGGCTTTATACTCATGCCTATTAAACATCATCTTGTTAGGTTTGGCCCATTGCTTCAACCTTTTGAGGTCATTTTGGATCCGTACTCTGTCCTCCATTGGATTAACATTCTCCCAGTTTACAGATTAGTAAATCTTCCAGAGTGCTAACTCTCCCAAATTATGAATAATAATTTAAAGAAAAAATGCCAAAAATCTTAACTTTCCTTCAATCCTTCTTTCCTTCATTAACATGCTTCCAGAAGCACTGTTCACATTTAATTGTCTGTAGCATTTTCTTTTTGTCTATTCCATGCACAACTTCTGCTCATTGACTCTAACTCTATCCTCAGGAGCCTCACAAAATTAATCTAATCCTTCCAGATGATACCTCTTCTGGCAGTTGAAGACAGAAATGATGTCCCCTCTAACTCAGTTCTCTTTTCTAGAATAGACTTTCCCAGTTCTTTCAACCATTTCTCATAGGACATGATTTTGATATTCATTCCATCTTTCATCATCCTCCTCTGCACTGTAGTTTGTCAGTTTCCTTCCTAAAATATGATGCCCAGCTCTGACTGCTCCAGGTGTAGTCTAATTAGTTACTATTGAAGTTGTTACTGTTCATTTGTTTACAAAATCACAGAATTAGAAAGTTTGAAGAGACATCATCTGCCATCTAGCTTAACACAGAACTGAAAAGAATCCCCTACTAAAACATACCCAAGAAGGGTCACTCAGCCTCTGCTTGAAAACTGCCAAGGAGGTGGAGCTCACCACCTCTGTAATATTCAATTATTGAATTTTTTGGAAAGTTCTAGTTATTAGGAAGTTTTTCCTGATGTCAAGCCTAACTTTGCTTTTCTACAACTTCTACCCACAGTTCCTAGTCCTGCCCTCTGGGGCCAATCAGAACAAATCTAATCCCTTCTCCATATGACAGCCCTTCAAATACTTGAAGATACTTAATTATCATGTCCCTTTGTGTCTTCTCTTCTCCAGAATAAACATCCCAATTTCCTTCAACCAGTGTTCATATAACATGGACTCAAATCCCTTCACTATCCTAGTTGTTTTCTTCCGAATACCCTCCCAAATTTTCAATGTTTTTAAACTACGGCCCTGCAAACTTAACACAATACTCCAGATGCAGTCTAACGAGGGCAGAGTGCAGCAAAATGAATATCACCTCCACCAACACAGCCAATGAAAGATACAGGTACAGGCAGACTTGTGGATCAGGGTAAGCAGTGGAAAAAGATACGGGAATACTGTATGTATGAAACCCAGAAAACAACAACATATAGCAAGCACCTGAGAAACACAGAGATGTAGACCATACTCACAAGTGTGCAGAGAAACTCAGACACAAAGCGCAGAGATAAAAATGGAGAAACACCAAAGCAAATATAGAGACACAATCAGCCATACAGTATTGCTAAAGCAAGAACAAGACTGTTTGGACACAAATGTGCTCATCATATATCAGACATCTTTATACCCTTTACTCTGACCTGCAATAAAATTCAAGAAGAGACACAGAAAAGTATTTGTCTATCCATTTCCATCAGACTCATCCTAGAACCAGAAGTAAATACACTTGCTTACACTGACAGGGACCAAACATGCATACACATACAATCCATAGGCTCAGATATATTGTGTATACCTATTTATATTGCCTTGTTTTTATAAATACATGTATATATCTTATCTCCCTCAGTAAGGTATAATATGTATTCTATGTGTTCTATTGGATCATAGAATTTAAACTTAGAAGGTATTGTATCATTCATATAGAGCTAAAATGGACTTTGTAAATCATCTAATTCAACTACCTCATTTTATAGATGAGAAAATTGAGGGTCAGGGAGGTTAAATCACTTGCCCAATTTCAGACAGGAGAATAGATATGGCAGTGTCAGGATCCAAACTGAAATCTTCTGATTCCAAATCTTTCCAAGATGTCCTGTTCCCACTCCTCACCTTCCAGCTCCTTCATTTTTCAAAGGCAGAAATTGAGACCCAGAGAGAAGTGACTTACTCAGGGTTAAGGATTCAAATCTAGATGTCCTGACTTCAAAGTTAATACTCTTTTCACCATTATATATGCTGTTTATGGATCCCTCTCCATGTCAAACATACTATTCAATAATAAGTTCATTGAATGAAGAATGTAAACACACGGTTGTAATACAAAGGAAAAAATCTACACATGGGGACTCCATACCCTTTCTGTAGACATTACAAAACTTAAGACTGCATTCACAGAAGAAGTGTTACAAAGAAGTGTAGACAAAGGAGGCTGATAGATAGTCCTATTATTCTCTGGAAGCCAGTTTTAAAAGGATATTGATAAGCTGCAAAGTATACAATGGAAAATAACCAGAATAATGAGAAGGCTTGAGTCCAGGTGGTAGGAGGATTGCTTGAAGGAACTGAGAATATTTAGCCTGGAGAAAAGCAGATTCAGGGGGAATATGCTGTGTCTTCAAGTATTCAAAAGATTTTCATGTGTAAGAAAAATTAGACTTATTCTGTTGGACCCCAGAGGACAGAACCAGAATTAATAGGTGGAAATTGTAATTACAAGAGGCAACTTTAGGCTCTATGACAGAAAAAAAAAAACTTCCTACTAATTAGAGCTGTTCAAAAGTCTTGAGAGGTGATGGGTCCCCCTCCTTGGAAGTGTTCAAATAGAGAGTGGTCAGATTATATTATAGCGGAGATTATTTTGGTTATGTGTTGGATTAGATGGCCTTTGAGGTCCTTTCTAACTTTCAAATTCCTTGATTTTGTAATTCTCCAAAATGATTGAGCTGTCTACGTGTGTATACATGACTATGTATTTTTGTCTTTAAATTCTTGTGGAAGCCGCAAGTCGAGACATGTGCCCACACCCACCTTCCAGTCCAGCTGACTATGTCTCTAACCTCCCCCACATCCCCCTCCCACAGAGGGTACCCGGTATTGCGTAGTCTCGCTCCTCTACCCCCACCCCCCCCACCGCTCCTCCTTGCCTAACCCGTAGGAATTTCCCTGTCTCCTCCTGCTTTTGCCCCGTCAACCAATAGCGCTAAGATATGGTGGGGGCGGTCCTGCCCGGCCTGCTCCATAACTAGCTCGGCTTAAGGCACAGTCCCCATTCCTCCCTTCAGCTCTAAACAGCATGTGTCATAATCGAGGCTCCGTCCCTGCTGCGCCCGTCACCGTGGCCCCAACCCCGGGCCCCATCCCCAGTCCTGGGCCTCGGCGAAGGTCCGGGCCGGAGATCTTTACTTTTGACCCCCTCCCGGAGCCTGCCACTTACCGACCCTCCCGCTCCAGCATCGCCCACAGGGTAATTCGCAAGCGCAGCCGCAAGGTCCTTTACCCTCGAATGGTGAGTGTTCCATCCATCTCCAAGACCTAGAAAGTAGGGAGAACTGGAAGGACAGAGTGGGGCCACAGGACCTGGCTCTTTGGTCTGAGGGACCAGTTGAGGCAACTGGATACCTGAGTCTTTTCTTACTACTTTATAACACTCTTTCTCAGGTTCGACGCCAGCTACCGGCAGAGGACCCCAATCCGGCCAGACGGCTCCTCTTCCTCCTCCTCACTGTTGTCTTTTGTCAGATTTTGATGGCGGAGGAGGGAAGTCCAGCGCCTCCAGTGCTGGAAGAACCGGCCACCGACCCCACTCCAGTGCCTCCAGTTGTGGAGTCCCAGAACTTGACGTCTGAGCCTCCGGACTACACCGTGGACATCAGCACCTTCCTCCAACAGCACCCTGCGGCCTTCTGAGCCACAACCCTACCCCAACAACAACAAAAAACAAAAAGAAACACAGAATGGAGGGATACGAAAGGGCGTGTGCCGAGCCGAAGCTGGACCTGGGGCACTCCCAAACTTAAAACACTAAAACCAAAGAATGACATCAGTGCCACAGGGCCCAAGTCCTAGAGCTGAAGTAAATGGAGGGTAGAGAGAGACTTGTCTTGCCATCTTTGGTGCAGTTAATTTATTGCTGGTCATTCCTAGATAATAATATTTATATGCAGTTTTTATTTATGTACCATCCCCCCACCCGCGAGGGTGGGGTGGGGTGGTAGTGGTGATGGGGCAAAAGTATATGTAATATTTATTTTAATTTATATGTTGGAGAGGAGAGATTCGCCTCCAACTTTCTGCAGTGAAGTTTTGTTTTTGTTTTATTTATTGAGATATTCTAGTGAGCTGCTGAAGTTAGGACTCCCTAGACCAAACTAAAGCTGAGGGTGGGGAGAAAGCCTGGAAGAGGAATTAACGAATTGGGAGGTGGTGGGTGACTGGGACTGGGGAACTGAATCAAGGGCAGGAATTGGGAAAGAAAGAAGGCTAGTGAGAGTGATAGGGGTAGTACCTTTAGGGGTGACAATATCCATACATCGTAACTCAGTGGGGCCTACTTATGTGAGGCCCCATAAGGGCTAAAGGGTTCATTGCTCACCTATTACTCAGAAACTGCCCCCAAGGGGCTGGGGTGTGGGGTGGGTCTGTTGCCTTGTATGTTCTATGAACAGCAAATAAAACTGATTTTACTGCTGGAAACCGACTTGTGTCTTGAGACTGGTTCTTTTCACTTGAGAATAGCAACTTGATATAACGAAAAGGGGATTGGAGTTGGAATAAAACTGGTTCTTTTCCTAGTCATTTGACTTTGGAAAAGTCACTTCAATTTCTCAAAGCTTTATTTTCCTTATCTGTAAAATGGGGATGAGAGGTAGCTTGGAAAAAATGGATTTAAGGCAAAACCTTGGTGTCAAGAAGACCTGGGTTTGTAAAGGTCCTGCCTTTGACACACCAGCTGTTCAACTTCAAAAGTCATTTATGATCCCAGAAAACTCTTAAGATGCAGAGAAGTTATAGACAAATTCCAACTTTTGTTTGTGGAGGGAATTCCCATGCCTGGAGTTCCTTAGACTAGATCAAACCTGTGCAATGGTAATTAATGCTACTTTCACTATTTACCTCATAGAATTATTGTGAGGATCAAGCGTATTTCAATGTAATGAAAAGACTTCATTAGACTTGGAGTCCAAACGAAGCAGATCTGGCTTCAATACTGGTTCTGTCAAATGCTAGCTGTGTAACCTTGGGCCAGTGAATTAACCTCTCTGGTCAGCTTAAACAATCATTTATAAATTGCCTACTAGCCAAGCAATGAGGGATGGTAAGAAAGGGGGGAGGGGGGAGTCCCTGTTCTGAAGGAGCTTACAGTAAAATGGGGGAGACAACATGCAAATAACTAGGTACCAACAAGATATATAAAGGATATATTAGAGATATTCTCCGGGCCTCATTTCCTAATCTGTAAAATGAGAGGGTTAGACTCAACATCCTCTTAGGTCCCTTTCAGCTCTAAATCTGTGATCTTATGAGTTCCTTATGAGATCCCTTAGTTCCTGAACATCCTAAAGTCCCCACTGACCTCCAACTAATTTCATTAAGATCGTAGGTGTATTTTGAGCTGGAAGGCACCCTTCAGATCCATCACATCCAATTCCTGATTAAATTAATCAATAAATCAGGAAACAGACCTATGGAATGGATAGATAACTTACATCAAAGTCAATGAAGAATATTTATTAAACAAGCCTAGTGCCTCGGGAATTAAAAGATTCCAGAAACAGAGTCCAGCAACTCAAGGGGATTCCAGTCTAATGGGAGAGGAAGGGACAGGGAAGGGAGTACAGTACAAGGTAAAGTGAGTGTCTCTTATTCCTCCTCCTCCTTCATCGTCTTCCCTCTGAGAGTACCTTCCTTTTTCACTGTACAGATCTTGTTTATACAATTTTTGTCCCTTGAGGGCCTTTCTTTGTATCTCCAACACTTGAAGAAGTGCCTGGCACCTAGCAAGTGCATCTTGACTGACTGACTACGCAGGCAAAGGAGCGATCTGACCAAGTGATCTAAGAAGTCAACTCAAGAAGCCTTTATTTAGCTCCTACTGTGTGCCAAGTACTGGGCCACACACTGTAAAATCCAAGGAGTCTGAGAGTTACACTATCACTTGTTCTAAAGCCTCAACTCGGGGATATGCCCCCTCGATAAGCTCTCCCCTTCCAAGAAAGAAAAAAAAAAGAATCTGCCCGGACCCAGGCGTTCAGTGCCCCATTTCCAACAGCCGGATATGATCGCACACGGTTACTGACACCGGGCAAACCCAGGATGGAGCAACATCCTCGGGGCGGCGGCCTGCCCGGGTGCACAGGGGTGGAAGGGGCCAGAAGGCAATGGGTCAGGAAGGGCCGAGGAGAGAGCAGGAGGCAGGATGCGCAGAGAAGCCAGGGTGCCCACCCGCCTCAGCAGCCCCTGCTTGCCTCCAGGGCTCCCGCAGCAGCAGAAGCCGCAGCAGCAGCCGCGACGCAGGAGGCGCGGGAGCTGCCGGGAAGGGGGCGGGGCCTCGCGGGGGGAGGGTACGGAGGGGAGGTTGGTCAAGCGCCGGGGGCGGGATCCGGGCTCTGCGGCAGCAACTGGGCGCGGTTGGCCTTGGGGCGACGTCGGGGGAGGGGAGCGCTGGCACCGAGGGAGCCACAGCCTGCCTGGTTGCCCCTGGGCGACAGCGGACGCGGGCTTCTGTTCCTCGAGCTGCCTCCCCTCCGCCCCCGGGGCCGCGCACCCTGCACTCCTAGAGGAGGTGAGGGCTAGGAAGCGGGGGACCCAGGCGACGCCTGGCGCGTAGAGAAACGTCTGGCGTGCAGCCCGCGCGCATGTGTGTGTGCGCGCGTGTTTGTGTTCTTGTGTGTATGTGTGTAGGTATGTGTGTGCGTCCGTGTGTGCGCGTGTTGGGGGGGTGCAGGAATGGGGCTGGGGTCGAAAGGTGGGCGGGGGAGGAGGGGAGTTTGGTTGAAACTTAGGGATCCAGACAGATGCCACAGCAGTGAAATGAGCAATGCAGACTGGAAAAAGGTGGCAGTGAAGGGTTGAGGGTTGGGATTGTGGTTGGGGTGGGCGGGGCTGGGGTATATGAGTTCCATCATTTCCTTTGCTGACCCCTAAAAATCATGTCTTCCCCCTCCCATTCTAGCCCCTCCCTGAAGCATGTTTTTCACTTGTGGCCCAAATGAGGCTATGGTGGTCTCGGGTAAGTGTTATTGCCCTCCCTTCCCCCTCTAGATTCTCCAAAGGAACCATAAATTCGATTGCTCCCCAAGCTTATTACCCCTCCACACACACACTCATACACACATAATGCCTAGCTCAGTTCCCTCTTTAATGATAAGGTATATGGCCCTTTAAGGTTCACAGAGCATCTGTGATTACTTGCCCCTTCTCTGCCTTTGCAAATTTTATTTTCTTCCCATCCAGCTCCCCTCCCACAACTCTTGACTGCCCTACCCTTACCACGGGTCTGTTTTGCCTTTAATACATCATCCCTTCCTTCCACCTGCGTCTCAGTTTCCTATACATTAGCTTTATCTTTCACATTAGCTCTTTTCCTCTAATTCCCTTTGTCTTAATGCCATACTCCCTTCCCAGCCAGATTCATTGTCCTCATTTCCTTCAGGTTTCTGCAGAAGCCCCCCTGTCATGGTGGCAGGAGGCCGGGTCTTTGTCGTGCCCTGTATCCAACAAATCAGGAGGTAGGTGAGAAGGGGATTGCAGAAAGAGGGGCATTAAATTCTCTTTCCTTTCTTCTATTCCTCATAGCCTTACTTTCTTTCTCCAGAATCTCTCTCAACACACTGACCCTCAATGTCAAGAGTGAGAAGGTCTATACTCGTCATGGGGTTCCTATATCAGTTACTGGCATTGCCCAGGTGAGGGTGTGAGCCTACTTTTTGAAGCTCATTATCCCATCCATCGTTGTTTCTCTGTCTGTCGCTGTTTCTCTTTCTCCCTTCCCCCCCCATCTAGGTATTGTTATTTGCCCCACCCTTCTTTCTCCTTGCTGGAAGATAAGAATTTTCTCCCAAACACAACTGTTCCTCCACCCTATTTTCTTTTTTGTTGTTTTTTTATTGGGGGGGGTGAGGCAGTTGGGGTTAAGTGACTTGCCCAAAGTCACACAGCTAAAGTGTCAAGTGTCTGAGACTCAGATTTGAACTCGGGTCTTCCTGACTCCAAGGCCAGAGCTTTATCCACTGTGCCCCTCTCCACCCTATTTTCTTAACAGGATGCTATAGATCTTCTCTTTTCTCCCTGGATATAAAAAATTTATAAGAAATTATGCCTTCCTTTTTTTGCTATCTGTCCTTGGAGAAGAAAGTTCTACTTCCCCAAACTCCCCAACAACCTCTTTTTGTCCCCAGGTGAAGATCCAAGGCCAGAACAAGGAGATGTTGGCTGCTGCCTGTCAGATGTTCCTAGGGAAGACTGAGGGTGAAATTGCCCACATTGCACTGGAGACTTTGGAGGGCCACCAGAGGGCGATCATGGCCCACATGACAGTAGAGGTGGATTAGGAAGAGGGGACTTAGGAACTGAAGAGATAGGTCTGGGAAAGCTACATGGGTGGGTTCTGAAGAAATGAGGAGGTGGGCCTGGGGACAAAAGGGTGGTGGGGCATGGATTTGAAATCACCTTCTTTGTCCCCCGTCTCCCCTAGGAGATCTATAAGGATCGCCAGAAATTTTCAGAGCAAGTGTTCAAAGTAGCTTCATCTGACCTTGTCAACATGGGCATCAGTGTTGTTAGCTATACTCTCAAGGATATTCATGATGACCAGGTGAACCAGAGGTCCAGCCATCACTTCCTCCCTCTTTCCTAGTTCATATCTCCCCCTTTCTCTCCAAGAAGATTTAGGCATCCAATATCTATAATCCTATGTTTCCTTCCTGCAGGATTATCTGCACTCCCTGGGGAAGGCTCGAACAGCTCAGGTCCAGAAAGATGCACGTATTGGAGAAGCTGAGGCCAAAAGAGATGCTGGGATCCAGGTGAGGGGCAGGGAAAGAGATTGGGTTCAGTCAGTCAGCAAATATTTGCCATATGTGAGTTAGCATGATGTCACAGAAAAAGCACTGGGCTTGAAATCAGAAAATCTAAATTAATCCCTGGCTTTGACACTTACTAGTTGTGTGAACTTAGATAAATTACTTATTTCTCTGACCTCAATGTCCTCATCTGTAAAATGGTGGTAGTGGTGGAAGTTTAGACTACTTCTAGTGTCTGACTAGACATTAGATTGACATCTAATGTCCCTACCAGTTCTAAGATATTATGTTATATTTTATGCTCAGTTAATGGAGGTAAGTGGGTAGAATTTGTTTGAAGGGGAAGAGGCTGGTAGGAAGCCAGAGTGAGGACCTGGAGGAGGTGGGGTGATATGAATATGTTTCTGAGGTGTTCTCACTTTTCAATCAAAGGCTCTAGACCTGGAAATGACCTTAGAGATTTTCCAGGTGAGGAATTTGAGGATCAGGGATTTAGGAAATGTCATTCCACCACCACCTTTATCTTGACAATGACTTCTGCCCCAACAGGAGGCAAAAGCAAAACAACAGAAGGTATCTGCTCAGTATGTGAGTGAGATAGAGATGGCCAAGGCACAAAGAGATTATGAGCTGAAGAAGGCTGTTTATGACATTGAGGTCAACACCCGACGTGCAC